TCCTCTCAGCGGTGAGAGAATTTGTACTAGATGTTGAGCCAGTCTGTAAGTTGGTGAGTCGATCTGGCTTAAAATAGGGCGTAATGGCAAGTCTGGTTTGTGTATTTTAGGCAACCCATACAATTTAGGGGGTTTTGCACATGAAGGTGTCATCGGTTTCACGTCTAGATTTAATTTTTCGGAGTATTTTTTAATGAGATCGCTAGTTAATTTAAGCGTTTTAGTGGTTGGGTTTGTTTTGACCTTTTTATACGTGCTTACATCCGACAACAGTTCTTGTATTTTCAAATTATAATCCGACGTTTTCATAACAACCGTAGCATTTCCTTTATCTGCGCGGAGAACAGTTAAATCTTTGTTGTTGCGTAAGCTGTTTAACGCGTTAAATTCATCTTTGGGGAGGTTAGACTTCGGTACCGAACTTCGACGTAATAAAGACGAAATATCTTGTCGTATACCTTCTAAATCTTCCTTACCGATATTATTTTTATATAGACAGTCCTCGACACTACAGATTATTTCTTCGTACGGGATTTTTCGCGGCGTTATTGCGAAATTTAAACCTTTTGATAACACCTTCATAGTAGAGTCATCCAGTGTTTGTTGTGTACAGATTAAAGACCGCCAGGAGTGTACAAACTTGACTGTGAATGTGGGCTCTCTTACATAGGACAAACCAAAAGAGCTATAAAAACCCGCGTGAAAGAACATATAGCTGACATAAAACATAGTAGATTAAACAAGTCTGCAGTTTGTGAGCACACTCTAAATCGGCCCAACCACTACATCAGGTTTGATAGAACACAGATCCTTGCAAAAGAACACCGATTCCTCCCAAGGATGATTCGCGAGGCTATTGAAATTAAAAAACACCCTAATTTCAATAGAGAAGAGGGTTGGGGTACTACCATCAGCTTGGGATCCTATCATCAATAAAATTAAATCTAAGCCCAAAAGAACCACTACTGCAAGACAAGATACAATTAGCTCCCTCTGCATAGATCGGACACAAAATCAATAATACAAAAACTGACGGTAGCCCGGGATAACTTTGACAATCAGACGTCTAACACCTCAGTCTGTCCCGTGACCATGAACGCTGTAAAGGGTTCGAAACGTCGGGAACTTAAATTAAAAATAAACGCGATAAATCCGTAAAATTAGTTTCATTTATAATTTTTGTTCCTTCTAATAGAGGCGACCGGATCTCACTTTTTGCATCGTTCATTTGAACAGGGATTTTGATTGTTTGTCTTATTTCAATGGGATTAAGAAATTATACTGCTTTTGATAAAACTTAACTTTTCTATTAATAGCAGCAACATTCAACATACGAACTTTTGGTTTTCACACTAAGCAGTGGAACTGGATAAGTGCTAAGTGCAAATAACTCGTAGTTGGCAAGTGTACGTAAAGTTGGGCCGCAGTTTAGTGGGCGTTGGTTGCGCGGTTGGATATTCGCCAGAGCCCGCTTCCTGTGGCGGATTTAATAAACGGCTGTATAAAGAAAGGATAACTCGTTCCCGCCTCCCGGGGCCAATTTGCAGCCCACTCCGAAATTTCATTAGCGGCACCAGAACAATCCACGAAACGAGCGTCAACACTTTTATATTCCGTAATTAAAAGTAAATACTTTTTCAACAGTGAATGATATCTCTTTCAAGCTTAAGCTGCATTGAAATTGTTTTATAACATTATCGTATAATCGTTTCACTAAAAATTTTATTTAGCGCAAAAGAGACGCTGTATAAATACCATAATATGCCATATAAAATTCGGCCATATAATAAGATACGTCTACTTCATAATAAGAGGAAACGTGATATGGGAAATGTAAGTTCCCTAAATATTTCCTACACCAAACGACATAAATACATACAGAAAGAAAGAAAATACATTCAATTACCAAAAAAAGGACGCACACAATAAAAGAGAAAAACAAACTAAAATTAACAAAAAATCAAGAAAGAGAAAAATACTTATAAATAATTCAGTAAAGCAAAAGAATACATAATTAAAATATGAAACAAATGAAAAATAACTTTAACAAACCAAAAATATTGTACGCCCTATTCCGGTAAATTAGGTACATATACCTATTTCTATAAACATTGATTTCGGAGCAAATTTATTTACTTTTATTTTACGTGTCGATGAGAAATCATATCCTTCCGGCCCAAAACTCAGCCACTTCGACAGCACAATTTGTGGCATCCATCAAATTCTGCTGCGAACAGGTGAAAGGGCAGGCAGGACAGAACATTAGGTGAGCCATGGACTGCACTGCTCCACACATACAGTCCAGATCTGAGTTTTCTGAGAGTAGAATAGATTTTCCATGCTTCGGCCGACCTGAGTCTGAAGTCTATTTAAAGACTTCCAGGTTGGGCACGGTAATCTATGACCAGCCGGAAGATTCAGAAAGCGGGACAAAGGGATCCGGAAGCAGCGTTTGAGCACGTCACATGCTGCATCTCGCTTGTGAGGGCTCGGTTATGAGGGGTCGACACATTTTAAAAATTTTCAGCCTTTGCGGTGGCAGCTCATGCCTATTTAAGGGGTGCCGCATGTCTTCGTTCGCCTTAGCCTTCTCTAGCGAGCTTGCTAATTGTAGCCCTTGCTATTAATTGCTAATCTTATGGTTGAGAAATAAAGCTTAAATATATAAATATTCTGAAATAACAACCTTCGCGCTATGCCTACTTAGCGTCATCGTGCTGCCAATAAAAAAAAATCTTCCTAATAATGAACAATCAAAGACGGCGCACTACTTGGCTTTTCGCCAATAACTGAGCAATCGAATTTTTCGAGTGCGATGCAAAAATAAACTCCCATTTACGGGGTGGTCTCGTAAAAATTAAACGGAAATGAACAATTTTAAATTAATTAATGAGCTGCCCAAGCTTACCCACCCAATCGACGGACCATTCGAACAATATCCCAATTTAATTGTCTCAATAAAAATTAGTAATTAAAAATCAAAATACAAATATAGTAGATAGATTTAATATTTTCACATTCAATGACACGTTGACATTATGGGCCAAATGTGTTTCTTTTTTATTTAGATTTGTTATTTATAACGAAGAATTTAATTTTATTTAAAACCTTCGTTTCTATTAAAGCTTTTCAAATTCTACTATTAGTTTGCGAATGAGATTAATAATCTTGTTATTAATATGTTTACTTATATTATTAATATGCGTATTAATATCACATTAATATCCATATGTTATTATCATAACATCCATGTTATGTTATTGATAAAATGGTGTGTTGTTTTATCAAAGTTTATTTATTATTTTTTAAAACCATTTTGATAAAAACACAAGCTTCTAGCGTTTTTGCCCCATGTATTTATGACATCAAAAGATTATAAAGTAATTAATTGTTCATTTTTATCCATATCTCATTTTGTCTATTTGTTTAAAGCATGATTCATGAGGTTATCGTGATAAATGTTTGCAAATTAAAGAAAACATTTCAATTTGCTATGGAAAACTTTTCTACAGATGAACAATTTCTTAGCGATAAAATTAATCATTGAAACATACTTTTATTATGTAATATATGCAAGGTTATTTTTTAATAATAAAAAAAAATGTTACATTATAGTATAACAATTTTTTGAAGTGAAACTTCTTTATCGGGGTTGGAAAAAAATTTAGTGTAACATTTTTGCGTTACGCGCCATCTTGTTGTTGTGGTTTTAATAGTTGACGCTAGATGGCGTTAGTTCCTTTGTGTTTTCATAACAATATATATATATATATGTTATATTAAAGTGATCAGCAAAATCAAAGGGTTTATTTTAATTCTAATTCTAAAATGTAAACAATATATTTCGTATTTCAGTTACCATAAGCCATTAATAACACAAATATATAATAACGACATCAATGATAGTAATAATTCTATTACAATTAATGAAATTCAATAATAATATTTGTAGTCAGTGCTAGCTCTAATACTTCAGAGCACGACACTGTAGAGACTTCCTCTTCTCCAAAGGCAGGCACCGCCCAATCTCCACACAATCTGAAGCTGACCGATGATGCTCTTCGAAGCCTCGATCGGCTCCTGGTACTTGCGGTTGCGACGTCGATCCCACGTCCCCAAGTTCGGTTTTCCAAAAAACCTTAACTCACAACACTCGCGCGCGAGTCGAACGTCTGCCTTCTACTCACTGGCTGACTATTCGGCAACGAAGGACGCAAGTTGCAAGTTTTTTAATCAACAATTTTTGCGGACCCTCATACTAATTACAACGGTCAAACCATAGTGTGTTTTAATTTACTACTAACGCCACCTATGTATTACAAATAAGAAACTAAATATTATACAAAGGTAAAATGAAATAATTGTAGAATTTGTATTTATGTCTATGATAATAAAAGCCTTTTATTAAACTTTATCTAATTTAACTTTATTTAACCAATTTCAGTTAAGTTGGATATAGTAAATTATTTTTTGAAAAATAACGTCATAAAAAAGTTTCACTTCTTACGAGTGTACGCTAGTACACGCACACATCTTTTTTTTTACCTTATTCAATGATTATTTAATGCTTGATTGAATTGAGAAAAAGTATTCAATAAAATACTGTTATAAACTTTCTAAAGTGTTAGTTCCATTATTACTTTGCTTCGTGCGAAAGGGCAAATGGTGGGCGGCATAAATGCACTACAATTCAGTCGCCCACAACTAACCTCTATAAATAAACGCACGTACTTATATATAATAAATTGTTGAAAATCATAATAGACTATTGTTTTTAGCATTTAAAGCAATGCTTGGCGCATCGATTGTTACGTCCTTTTCAGCATACAAATTTAAATCATATAAACTATTTTAAATTAAGTGAAATTCTTAAATTAAGATATAACAATTAATCACGTGACAAATTCGGTTATAAAATACGATAAAAGTGGCTAACTACTGTACGCCATGTGGGATTGTAAGTTGAAAAACTTATCCTAAATTTGTCTGTTTCTTTACAGGTGGAAGAGATACGAGAAATGATAGACAAGATACAGGCGAACGTAGAGGAGGTGAAGAAGAAGCACAGTGCCATCCTGTCAGCACCGCAGTCAGATGAAAGTGAGTTTTTTTTTTACAAACACAAACATCAAAACTGTGACAATCCTTCCAGTGATCAATTCGGGGACAATTAAACAAGAGTATTTTTTTCAATTTGCTAAGTTTCACAGAAGACCGGCGTCAAGTGGAAGTATAATTACTTTCGCGTTTCGTCTGGTTAGTGAGGTGGCCGGAGCCCAACTTTCAAAAGGGTGTCAACGCATCTGCAACCCTCGGGTGTAGCTGATGTCCATTGGCGGCGGTATTCACTTAACATCAGGTGAACCGCCTGCTCGTTTGACAACTTTTCACATAAAAAAAAAAGTTGACATTAATGAAGGACCTTCAAAAGAATTCAAGTGTTCTTTATCGAATTTAGATAACAACTTTATTATTCAACATTATGTTATATATCTACGGGCGTATGAACTCGCTAAAAATAGCCTGTCTTTTAGCTCTATAATCAACCCAAAGCCCTGAGTCGTAAAAGCGTTGCTCCAAATTGACATTATAACGGACCTTGAAACGGATTATTCGCTATGGAAGACACTTCTTTAGAGAGTTCTCTATATCGAATTTCGATCACAACGTTTATAGTTAAAACCTATTCTACATTTATTCGGGCAATATCAACTAACTAAAAATAGCCTGCCCTTCTAACGTAGTAAACAACCCACACGCCCTGTGTCGTGGAAACGCCGCTAAAAATACGTCATCCGACTATACTTGTTGTCCGGCAATCGCATTGCACGCAGGCGTGAATTGTTCCGAGGCGGGGGCTGGTTCGATTGCTCTATGTTAATTGAGGGGTGGACTTAGACGCGGAGGCGTCCCGTTCGTCTGCCCTCCAATTAATAGTAAAGACTCGAAAAGACCCTAGCAACAGCGAAACTAACAATTCCAACTGCAGTAAATTACCCAAATTGAAACCGCCTTTAAGACTAAGATTCTCGATGTGCTCGTGTCGCTCCGTTGACCCAGTTTGGACTTTTAAGTTTATTTTTAGCCTTTTATTTTTATCCCGTTATGGAACTACGCGTCGCATTTGATTACTTATGTTTTCGACTTCAAATGTCTTTTAATGACTTTCTATGGATTCCGTTGTAGTATTGTTTATACACAGTTAAACTATATGTACCAGTAACTATCTCATTCATATATTAGTTTTAAATTCCAATTTGTACACTTACCTAATCAAAATCAAAATCAAATCAAAATCATTTATTCATCGACATAAGAAACTTACATTTCATTTATCAATAGTCATTTTTTTTTTTTAAATCTACCACCGTTTCGTAATGAGGTTCCTCTAGCGGAGAAGAAACAGGCGAAAGAAACTCCGTAGGTATCCTCTTTTTTGTAATTATTTTTTTTTCTTAACAAAAAATTCAAAAATTGTACAACTGATTTTTTTCCTTTTAGAAATAGCTTGGGAGCGATCAACTCATTCCCAGGGGTTATTGTCATTAATGTATTCATTTGTATTATAAATAACCCTTTTTATAAAGTTTTTCTTTAATAAATGTCTTAAACCGGTTAATAGGCAGGTTTTGCGCATTTACTGGGATTTTGTTGTAAAAGCGTATACACCGCCCCATGAACGAGTTACTTACTCTATGGAGTCTAGTAACTGGCATTACAAGCTTGTGTTTGTTCCTAGTGTTCACATTATGTATATCAGTATTCTTATCAAAATTATTAATATTTCTACGCACATACATAACATTTTCATATATATATTGAGAGGCTAAGGTTAATATATTTATTTCTTTAAACTTCTCTCTCAAAGATGCATTCAGATCTAGATTATAAATAGCTCTTATGGCCCTTTTTTGCAAAATAAAAATTGTTTCTATATCGGCCGCGTGCCCCCATAGCAAAATACCATATGACATTATGCTATGGAAATAACTAAAGTACACAATTCTAGCCGTTTTTACATCAGTTAGACATCTTATTTTCCTTATAGCATACACTGCAGAACTTAGTCTATTCGCAAGTTTGGATATATGGGGACCCCATTGAAGCTTTGCATCGAGAGTTATTCCAAGAAAGACAGTCGTATCCACAAGGCCTAACTCCCCCCCATTTATAAGTACATTAGTAGCACCCAAATGTTTAACATTAGGTGTTGAAAATTTCATACATTTAGTTTTATTACCATTTAATAGTAAATTGTTAGTATTAAACCAATAGACTATTTCTGACATAGCATTATTTACCTCGTCAAGTGTAACAAGCTGTCGATTGATTTTAAAAATTAATGATGTATCATCGGCAAATAAAACTATATCGTGTTTACTCCCCTACAAAGTAAGGAAGATCATTAATGTAAATGAGAAAGAGAAATGGGCCGAGAATCGAGCCCTGCGGAACGCCCATAGACACCGTCGACCCAGAAGAACGAGCACCATTAATTACAACTTTTTGAATTCTATTAGATAGATATGACTTAACGAGGTCAAGCGCGGTACTTTTAATGCCATAATGGCGCAATTTCCTGATCAGTGTTTCATGATTCACGCAATCGAAAGCCTTGGAAAGATCACAAAAGACACCCAGAGCATCCTGTGAACTCTCCCAAGCCTCAAATATATGTTTGATCAGCTCTACACCAGCATCGGTTGTAGAACGACCCCTTGTAAAACCAAACTGGTTGTGATGTAATAATTTATTTAAGTTAAAATGTGTTAACAGCTGATCTAGAAGAAGTTTTTCGAAAATTTTACTAAGTGTTGGTAGTATAGAAATGGGTCTAAAATTAATGGGGTCCGAAGTACTACCGGATTTAAATACAGGTATGACTTTACTGTGTTTCATGAGATCAGGGAATACGCCAGAATCTACACTACTGTTAAAAATTATTGACAAATAAGGTGCGATTGAATCTATTTGATTGAGGCAGTCACTTCAACGGACATTCCCCATAGATCTGCCGTTTTCTTAAGTTCAATGGTCTTAAACATTTTTATAATATCTTTTGCATATACAGCCTGAAATTTAAGATTGTGGTGCAAGCACTTACATTTTCCTTAAGTAATGTCTCGGCAACAGCAGGAGAAGAATTCAGCGACAATGTAGTTAAAGTAGGAATCTCACTAAAGAATTTTTCAAATACTTCAGCTACCTCCTGATTAGTCGTTATAAATTTATTATCAATGTTGAGCTGGTAGTCAGACCTACGTGATTTGGTTTTTCCTGTTTCACTATTTATAATGTTCCAAGTCATTTTTACTTTATTAGATGGAAGTAGCTTCATTGAAGTGCAGAGAAATTTAATAGTTCTTAGGTTTAAGCGATTACGCACAAATATAGCTTATTGTGTAGTGGGGTCGCTGAATAAGGAATTAAGCGTTGCCTCGTAAATAGTCCGTATTTTCCGTAACAATTAATTCGGGTTGTATTTTGGCGCGTATGCCTCCCAAGAGAGACCCTGCTCAGGAGTAACCATGCGTGAACATTTTCTGCACGCAACCTCGGGCGGCGGTTCTCTTCCATTAATAATTAAGCTAATGTTCAGACACACATTTGTTTCTGAATAATAAGAAAATCTTTCACTAATTCATCGATTATATTTTATTAACTGCTTGACTTTTACCCAACTTGACAGTAAGAAATGAGGAAGTATTGGATGATAAAGGCGTTCTGTAGAAGTCGTAAACAATCTTATTAAAGTTTTTTGAGAATAGAATATATGGCAGACAAGGAAATACACAAAATGAAAATACACTAGACATAGTGTAGGAAACATAGGCGGTTTTATTGGTAAGATAGCAATTTCTGTCAGGCAACCTTTTTTAAATAAATAGTTCCTTAGATAAATAGATTTTAGAATTTCTTAAAAACATTGTAAAATGGAACATTCTGTGCTTGAATTAAATAAGAGAAACGCTTTAAGAATCTTGCGAATGTGAGAGCCATCTAGATAGTTATTTTATTTCTGCGTCTATGATGTTTGAGATGTTATGTAATATTCGATAAGCCTTATCATTTTACATGTTAAGTCTTTCCAATATTTTTTTTTAAATATCGATTGGTTGGACTCTACGACGGCTATTCAGTTGGCAACCATCCAATTATCCAATATTTTTTTGATTGTATTTATATTTCAATAGCTCTTTGCCGTGCAACACTCAAATGAAAATCTAATTATAAATTACAGTTTTATTAAAAATGATGTTATAATCTTATCCTTTAAACGAGCAATTCTTATATATATATAATCGGAATCTCGGAAACGGCTCCAGCGATTTTCATGAAATTTTGTATGTGCGTAGAATCGGGGGTGAAAAATCGATCTAGCTAGGTTTCATTTTTAGAAAATGCCCTTTTATCCCTGTTTTCGGGGAATGAAAAATATAATTCGAATATGACGGTAAATTTCGCCGCAAGAGAAAATGTCATAATAGCTCGGTCGGTAATCGGGCGGCCCCAAAACAGACGGCCGTGGTTCGCGTCACGATCATTTACACATTTATTTTTTTTACTTTTTTTCGATTCCAGATCATTGCTTTCTTTATTTTGAATTTTTTGTCGATTTGTTATTTTGTTATTTTTTCCCATTTTTTTAAAGTTATTTCTTTTGTGAAAAACATCAGTTCATATTTTCTTATTATTACGTCGGTAAGATCGAAAAATATTATGCATATTTCATTACGCAGTAATTTGTATCTAAATGTAATTTCCAAAATACACGATTTACCAAAAAAAAAAAAACAAACCGAGCAAAGCTCGGTCCTCCGGGTACTATTATTAATAAAACTTGTTAACTGTCGTCTTCTACTTTCCTTTAGACTAAAATAAAGTTAATCACGACTATGTGAGCCTATGCCTTACCCGAACACGAACTTGAGAAAAGATAAGATTTCAGAAACAGAGTACCTGTCAGAAACTTTGTCTTAGTTATGAGATTTCGTAAAAGAATATCCGGACCTTGTCATTAATCTCAGGCAAAATATTTTGGAGGAACATAAATAATAACTTTTGCTATGAAACATTATTCAACATTAACAAAATAATTC